TGAAAGTTCCAGGCATCTTTGCAACGTGACCGGGGTACTGGAAGCGATGTTGAAATCGAAAATCTCGCTAATGCCCGGACATATACTTAGCGTATACATGCAAAATATCGCCAAACTGTACTCTGTTTTGCTGTCGAGCGCAGAAGCGGAGAATGACTGGGATGCAATTGACAGCCTCGACAACTTGATGCTCTCAAAATTGCCCGAATTCGAGTTGGCTGACCATTTGGAGGCCCAAGAACGCGTAAGATATCTTTATTGCGTGAAATTCTCGATCTTTAGGATTCCTCCTTTGGGTTGAGGCTTGGGGGTTCGATCCCAGCAAAACAGCCAGCTTCTCTATGATTTTTCCATTAATTTCGAGGGCAAAGTGGTACAGGCATAAATCAGCGAAAAAAATTTTCTGCTGTTTCTGAACAGTTTTCGAAAGACGGGTGCTTTGATAGTCTTGCCAGTCAGGTGGTTAGAGCTGGCACAAGTTACCACTCGGCCGTCTTCAGATGCCTCCTCCTCCCATCAAGAGCCACCACGAAAGGAGTTTAACTTTGTAATTGCTTCATGTATTCGTTTTTGAATCATACTTGTTTTTACTCGAACTATCTCCCATCTATAATAGCCACTTTTGAAAAATTCTGATTTGTAATTATACGCTTATTTTTTAGGCTTGCACACTAATGGCACTGCTGAGAGTAGTGGAACGGTGCCATTCGAAACGTGAAAAAGTAGGCGAAGAGTTTGCGAAACTGTTCGAAGGTGAATTGAATCCAGTTGCTGCAAAAGCACAACGCAAAGTCCCTGTACCTGAAGGGTTTGTTTCGTTGCGAAGCATTTTATGAGAGTGATATCGGTTCTTTACCGAGCTTGCAATAAAACTCAGCAGAATATTTTTATTTTGGCTCAGTTTCTGATCTTACCTAAGTTCGTTTTTCCTTGATTTTGCAAGGATTAGCAAACTCTGAGCCTTGAAATGATCCACGGTTTTTAACCTGTTCACAGTGTTCGTGTGTCTTGCTGAAACTCTATGTATTTACGTGTACCTGTGATTCTAAAGTGCTCTAATGTGAAACTAGGTGATGCAATGTTCGTTCAAAAAATAATATGATTTAGACTGAACCTGGATGTGTGGATTCATGAGCCAGAATCTGAAGATGAAGTAGCTAGCGAGCCAGAGGATGATCATCGTTTTGGGCAGTCGGGGTTACGCTCTGAATTTTGTGGTTTTGGTGGTCCTCTTGTGTATATTGGTGATGAGGACGGCACCTGCAGCAAAAAATTATCGAAAAGCAAAGGTGACCACAAAGAGAT